AGGTAAGGTTCATTTGAGCTTCAGCGTTTAGATAGTTTCAACAAGAATTGGTGGCTTTATAAAATCGTTTTTAAAAGATCGAGTTGCATTTTTAGCATGGTCCCATGTGTCGGTGTTTCCTTCACGAAAAGATAGTTTTCTTCCAACGTTTTGATTTGCAAGACTGATCAGCGTGTTAAAAAGTTTTGATTTTATTTTTTTTTAAAAAAAGGAAAAGCCTTGCTAGGATGATTAATGTCTTCAGGCAGACAGGAGTCTTCTTTTCGAAAGAAACAGCCTCCCGCTGATCTCTCTCTGCGCCTGAGGTCTCACACTGCGAAGGTTGCCCCTCGGCAAGCAAGCATCACATTAGAGCAGTGTTTCTCAACCTTGGCAACTTGAAGATGTCCGGACTTCAACTTCCAGAATTCCCCAGCCAGCATCTGCTGGCTGGGGAATTCTGGGAGTTGAAGTCCGGACATCTTTAAGTTGCCAAGGTTGAGAAACACTGCATTAGAGAGTTTGCATGCTGAGCGTTTCTGGGGCTTGGAAAAGAGATTGCCAGCGGGGGCTCAGCTCCCTCCTCCCCCCCCAGCACCTTCCGCCAGCTTGGCCTAATCGGACTTCATTAGAATCTTTCGCAGGGCGTGAAATTGCTCTATTAGCAGCTAATGTTAGACACCACTTATTCTGTTGGCAGTTATTAGAAAACAAAGTTATTTTGCCTTGCAAAATGTGGGCCTTGGCTGGGTCGTTCCCAACACGCCAAGCTAATTCTAACTAAACCGTGGCTCTTAATTGGTGATTAAGCTTAGCTAGCAAAGGTCCCTTCCTGGTGTGCCGCTGGCTGTGCAACATTCGCAGGAGCGGAGCAGAAGTGAAGCTTCAGGGCCTCCAGGGAGGGGGACGATGGGGCTTGTAGTTTCACCTTCCTGTTATGGAGATGCTTGGCCAAATTCTCCCCCGCTCTCCCAGGCTGCAAACTTCCAGTTCCTTTGGGGCATAATAAAAGCCGTACCTTCCTCCTTTGGCTGTGCCTGATGGGTCTGCGTTCTTAGTTATTGCACAGCAACTCCCAGACTGTTGACTTGATTTCTAAGAGTCTTTTTTCTTTTTGTCAGCGTGCCCACTTTACGGATTTTACTGACCAACACTAAAGTTCCACGCAGCACCAAGATCCTGGTTGCGGGGGTCAAAGCCAAGCTCCTGAAGGTATTTCTTCTGGTTCCTCTCCCAGGCTTTGTGACTCTTGGTGATATGTCAAAATACATTCAGGGTGGGAGGGAATGATTTGGAGAAGGGCTGTAGAAGAAGCAGAAGCATGTATAAATCTGCCATTTACAAGGGTCCCTTTCCGGCTAAGTTTAATAGAAGCAGGTGTTTTTTTTTAAAGTAAACCTTATAACTGTTCCAATATAGGATTTCAGATTTTTTATGCCTTTTATTTTTGCTCTTCAGTTCAGTTCAGTTTATTGTATTTATATGCCGCCCTTTTCCCCCGAAGGGGACTCAGGGCGGCTCACAACTCAAACCAGGGAAGGGGGATACNCCCCCCCCCCGGAGGCAGAGGCTGGCCAACTGGCTGGGAGGGGGCTCCGTTGGTTCCCTTGGAGTGCCCACCCACCCCTGGCAGGGGACTGTTCTTGCAGCTTATCCAGGGGGGGGGGGCACATTTGTGGGACCTGTTAAGCTGGGTGGACACTCCTTGTAAGTGGTGGAGCAGGCCCCTTTGGGGGGGGGGGCTGACTTCTTTGAGCATAGACACACACACACACACACACACACACACACACACACTAACCATATTGGCGAAGTGGGAGGGGAGCCCAGTGCCTGCAGAGGCCTCCAAGCACTTCTGGGAATTCGGCGGCTGTCACACTTCGAGTCCCAGTTCATCCCAGTTATTATTATTCTTGGATTTCACCTTGTCCTCTTCTCCCCCTCCCCGACTCCCCCCACCCCCTGGCCTTTGAGAAGGAGGGGGTAGCCGGTGAAGAGAAACAAATGGAGGTTAAAGCCATAGTTTGATGGGGTGTAAAATGTAGGCATGTTGGGTCTAGAATTTAAAATGGGTTCTCCTGTTCTTCTGGCTAATGCCATCCCTCCCCAAGGTAACCCCCTCGGGGGAAGGGGGGGGAGATCTGGCGTCTCCTATCATCTTCCTGGCCCTAATTTGAGGGACCTTCCTCTGTTTGGGGGAGAATGGCGGGTGGGACAACCGTCTCTGGAGAGGAGCACAAGACGGCAGAAGTGACCAGAGGGTCATCGCAGGACAATAGTCGCGAAGGCAGCCTCTCCGCCTGCTCCCCACCCCCCCCAAGGAGATGCCTGCCCCCCCCTTTGCCTTTGGGTGGGGGGGCTTCTTCCTTTGTTTCCAGGCCCCTCTTGTCAAAGATTACGGATAGCTGATGGATAACTTGGCTAATTTTTCTCAAGCGTCACTTTCCCACTGATGAGCTTTGTGGCGGGAAGGCTCAGCATTCCCCCTATTGGCTCCTAATGGCCGGAACAGCCCAAGAAGGCGGAAGATGAAAGGGACAGGCGAGAGCCAGCCTCCTCTCCGGGAGCGGAAGGAAGGGCAGAGCCAGGCTGGGCTTGGCAGCCCCTGGCAGAGATCAATTGTGCAGGGATGCGGATCAGAGCTGCCTCATTCTGGGAGAGGGGCCCAACCGAGGCTGGCTGCTAGAGGCACGCTGGGCCAGGAAAACACTGGCTGGGGACCTAGTGGGGGTGGGGGGACAGGTTCTCAAGACAGCCGAGGGCCGGACTTTGCCGGCATGGCAAAACCTGGGGAAGCAAGCGGAAGAGCTGAAGAGGTGAACCTCAAAGGCTGAAACTCCTCCCGTTGGCCTCCTGGGGGCTGGTGGGTCTTCTGACCCGGGTGGGCTCACCGAGGCCAGCAGCCTCCTAGGTCGGTTTCAGTCCCGTGAAGGGTGAGGATGAGCAGGCAATTTTATCAGCCGGAGAGCAAAACCAAAACATTCCCAATGACCACGAGGCTATTTATTCCTTTTCCAATCATTTGCTCAGCTGCATTAAAAAAAGGCACAACCTGCCTTTCGGTTGAAAGCTTAATTTTCACCAACGTGCCAATAAAAGCCAATCAAAATTATACCAAAAGTTAAAGCCGGAACATGGATCCTGTAGCACTGAATAATTGAGCCACAATTATGGTAACTAGAGCTGTATTAAAACAACCCTTTACGAAGAGGCTGGGGAAATGACTTTCTTTTTACATAACCCATGAAACCATGCTCCACTGCCAAGAGGATTGGGGGGGCAGCACTCTTCCCCCTCCTGCACAAACTGAGCAGGGGGGGGGGGAGGCAGCCCATCTGGTCGGACCCTCTGAGCTGTTTGTCCAAGTGGGACCCAGTCCAGTACGGGGGTCCTTCTCTGCTCCTTGTCCTGTCCCTTCTTGGGATCGGTTTCTAGCATCCTTTGGGGGGTCCTTCCTGCCTTGGGCCCCACTGCAGGGCCCCCCCTGTCCTGTTAACCCTGAGGGGAGGGGGCGGCTGCCTTCCCCCAGAGTGGCAGGTGTGGGTGGCGCAGATGGTTTTATGCTGAACCTCAGCAGTGGCCCCTTCGAATGGATGCTTGGGAGACGATGGCACTGGGGGGAGACAAGAGGGGGGAAAGGGGGTCAGAGTGGGAAATGTCAAAGGAGGAACTCAAAGGCAGCTGCCTCCCTCCCTCCCTCCAGGATCCGAGGGAGCCTGGCAGAG